AGTTTGAACCCTAACAGGAGTGAAAATTGGTTAACAAGATAGCACAATCAAAGTTTTATATTGTGGCTAAAAGAACACATTTTTTCAAAATTTTCCAAAAATCCTGCTTCAATTTTCGAAAGATTGAGATGGCTAGCAAATGGTCCAAATTCAAATGTTCTCTCGTGCTCTGATTATATAATTAATAAGTATACATTTTATACGAAAGAACATGATCATCAAAGCCCTATGCAAAATAGCGGTGTCACACTCGTAGCTGAATCTGTGCATATCTCAAGTTCCAAAGACAGAAATCCCGTATTTTCCAAATTGTCATATTTTGGGGTCATTGAACGTATTTGGGAGTTGGATCATTCATGCTTTCATGTGCCTGTGTTTGGTTGCAAGTGGGTTGACAACAATAATGGCCTTCAAGTTGACCCTGGGTTCATGAAGGTCGATCTTAATAAAGTGGGGTATAAAGACGAGCCTTTTATTTTAGCATCACAAGCTCACCAAGTATTCTATGTCACTGATCCTGCCGATGAAAAATGGTCTATTGTGTTTCTAAGTAACAAAATAAATGATCAAAACACTCAAAGTATAGATGTTGAGGATGATCCTTTCTTTAATACATCACAATCCCTTGAGGATGAACCAATTATAGATGATATTCTTTATATGAGAAACGATCACAATGATGGGATTTGGATCAATCCATCATTTTATGTATCTAGAAAACACAAAAGTAGGAATCCAATTAAAGGAAGAGGAAAAGGCCGACTTGAAAATTTGTGGAATCACTTGAAAATTGTCTTTAATGTGAGTGAATAAAATGTTGTTTAAGAATCATATTGTGTTTTATGTTTGTCTGAGTTTGCATGAACAATGTCATCAAATGATTCTATTCCGAACCAAGGACTGAAATTTGATGTTTTATGTTACTGACAATTTAAAATGAAGTAACAAACTTTCGATGTTCCAAGTTAGAGGGAATAATAATAAAGGTGTTAAACTTATATTTTTAGCTTTAAATTTTTTAGTTGTCTTACATATAGTATATATCTCATGTTATCTTGCCTTGTATGTTATCGATCTGTGTTCTTCACTATACCTTTCAATTTTGATGAATATGAATGCTTGAGTTCAAATGGCTATGGTATACTTTATTTGTGAAGTACCTAGTGTTTGTTATTAGTGGCCAGCCATATTTTGTAGTAGCTGCCAACAATTTTCGTTGCTTTATATTGGCTTACTATTGTATCTCCTTTATTGAATGAGACAAGTTGTGTACGTAGTTATTAAATATTGTCATTAATAATCCACGAGGTGTAACCGCAGCCACGAATGACAGGGTTATCAAATATTGGTTATTAAATATTTGTTTTATGGCATATAAAGATACAATGTAAACTATAACTAATGGCACTGCATAATAAGAGACAATGTAACTGCAACAACGAATATAATACTTTTACACTTTTTACAGGTTAAATATGGTTTCTACTAATGATGAAGGTGGTTCGTCTAGTATGAAAATAGTTGGTAAACATGGTGTGACTCGGTTGCAAAACGTTCACAAAGCCAAAAGCAATGGAAAGAGGAATGAGGTAAAATAGCTAGATTTTTATGAGACCGCTGATTGTCTTAGAATATTAGTGAGATTGATGATTATTTAATTTCACTTTAATTTTGTTATAGGTTCAATGGAATGCAAGAGGTTAACAAATCAAGCATAATAGCAAGAGTATTGCTAGTTATATTGGTGTCACAGTTCGTCGGTTAGTTCCAATTAGTTTGGACAATTGGAGTGCAAAAAAAAAAAGAGGCTGTAGGGGTTTATAAACAAAACATTTGGGATGAAATTGAAGTAACACACTAACTCAAGCTTGTTGTAAAATTTTAATTCCATAAATTATATGTTTGGATGTTTAAATAAACTGAACAGTGTTTTAATAAATTGAGTTATTTGCAGAAAGCTTTTGTAATTGGCAAAGAACATCGTGCATTTATATATAAAGAAGCTGGAAAGTTGCACATGGCATTCAGGACAAAAATGGAAAAGTTCTATCTAAGAGATAGTAAGGGTGGTTTTGTTAAACATCGACTGGAAAAATATTCTTATTGTATAAAACAAGTGGATTAGGATAAATTTGTAGCTCAGCCTCTGACTGAAAAATTTCAGGTAATAACTTGTCATTATTTATCTCTATCTGTCATGCATACAAATTTTCATAGCAATGTTAACACTTTGCAATACATGATATGAAATTGTGGAAAAAGGATTGGTTGGTGGAAAAAGGTTTTCATCAATAATTAGTTTTGATTATAATGACACGTTAAAAGAGATTTTGTTGCCACATGATACAACTAAGAAAGAACCATCCGTTCATCATCTCTTAAAAAAAATTCCATAATAAAATGTTTTTTCAATCATAGTTTTGACCAAATACTATTAAACACACACATGGTTTACATGCTAGGCAACACTTGTTCCTATAACTTGATGATATCATATGATTGAACATTACTAGAAGTTATTGAGATTATGAAATCTTCCTATTATTTGTATTACTGATAACTGGAGGAAAGAATCCCCTCTAAAGGTTGCCCCTTACAAAGGGTTTCCCCTTTAACTTAAACTATAAAACTCTCAGATTGAAACCTTTCTATTTTTCCCTATTTCTCTAATTGTTCCTTTTATCTTAACACCCCACTCCCCTTAAACCTTGATCCTGTTTATCCATTCGTTCATACAACAAATTATACGCATGGTATAGTAGGAATACCAAGTGAACCAAGATGTTACAAGTTACAGCTCTTATTAGAGAGAATTGTAGTTGTTGTAAAGCATTATACATTCTAATAAATGTCCTATTGCATGTGCTATCTCTAACTTATATAGTTCCATGAGTCTAGTTTAATACTAAAGACTGAACTCAGTCTTTCCTCGTCTTAATGCCTGAACAGCAGCATAAATTCATACTAGTAATATATTTCATTGTAAATGTCCTACAAGTATGAAATTTGTATAATTAAGACAAGAAAATGTACTACAAGTATGTAATTCCATGGATTCTAGTCATGTACTTTCAGATTTTCCTCCCTGCATAATTAATCAAAACTCACAGGTATAAAACAGTAACACTACTACTAAGTTTAGAGTTTTTGTTAATATGCCTTAAATAAAAAATCTATGTTTAATAACATAGTCTTGTATGTTAATTTTAAAATGTATCATGTTAATATTAGTGGTTGACAAGTCCACATCCAGTAGTTACAATTAATTCATTGAATTCAATTTAATAATGTCTTGTTTTGGTAGATGGATTTCAACACATGTTATTTATTTTATTTGCTTAGATATATCTTTTGGGCTAAGATAAATTATTTTCGTTTCATCTCAATAACAATGCAAGGACAGGAAAACAGAAGAGAAAATAGTAGCGTTCCTATACGATATGTCTTATAGTGTTGTTATTCAACTACATATGTCTTATAGTGCTTTTAATGCAGAAAGTTAGTAGTGCAAATCGAGAAAGAGCGTTAAATCCTCAACATCCCTATAGAAAGTCATGTTTAGGGTGTGCTTGTCTTGAAGCTGATATGGTAAGTATGTGTATAAAAGTAGTGTACAAGATTATAAATTATTTTTTTAATTGCTATGTTAATTTGTCAAAATGTATATACAGGTAGAAGAGTCAGGAGAAGATGAGATAAATAGTAGTCAAGTGTGGAAGGCTGCCCGCGTCAACAAGATTGATAATGAGAATGTTCAAAGAGTTGTGGATCAATGTGTAAGTCAAATGTTAATATTTTAGATCAATGAAAATATTTTGGATCTCAGTTAATCTTAATGAAAATGTTCAAATTGATTTTCTTGTAACAAGTCTTTTATACTTATCGATGTCAGGAGAAGTTAACAGTCTCTAACTGAAGAAGAGAGACAAGACCTTGGTCCTACAGACATGTTATTCGAGGCTCTAAATCTCCCAAACTACTCTGGGCGTATTAGGAGTTACGATTTTGGGGTATGTTCTAGGGACATATTACTACGCCAAATTCGCTCCACACAAATGGACTTTCAAAAATTGTATGGCTTTTGCAACACACTCAAAAGTAGATTGGAGGTGCTAGAGAGAGAGAGAGAGAAGCTGGAGAGAGATAAGTTGGATAGAGAGAAGATAGAGAGGCAAAAAATTGAAGAAGTGGCCGAGAAAGAACAACCTGAAAAAGTGACACAGAGCTTGCAACAACTTGAAGAAGTGGCAGAAAGGCAACAACTTGAACAAGTGTCAAAGAGCTTGCAACAGCCTGAAAAAGGGACATAAAGGCAAGAGTTATGTGATAAAGGTTCTTGCAACCCTGGATCATTTGGTAATACTCCCGAGGTAATTGGCTTCTTTAAATAATTTGTATTATATGTTATACAAAACTCAATTATAAAATTGAAATTTTTAAAATTTAGATGTTAAATAACTTAAGCCACATTAAAATGACAAATGCCAAAATAATTACCCAGTGCACTCCTCGTTAAAATGGTATGGCCTGACACAGTTTTGTTGGTTGTGTTGTTCTATGCCGAGATAAGTAACGTTATGGCCGAGATAAGTATATTGTGTATTGCCATGTGTCTTACGTGTTAGTGCTTTTCTATCTACTATTTCAATTTGTTGTAATTGCAGTAATGGTAGAGTTATATAGTGTATTTCCATGTGTCTTATGTGTCAGTACTTTTCTATCTACTATTTGAATTTGGTGCAATATTAACTATATTGGTTCCAATGTTAATTTGAAGTTTGGTTATGATAATGCAACCAACATAGTATAAAACATGCGCAAAATGCATAAATTCAAAGCAGTTCATATATGTTTGTTTTGTAAATAATGATATTAATGTTTTTATTCATATCTCATTGGTTTAGGGTCTCTTTCCTGTTAATATATATTTATCATCCCCGAGTCGGTGTTTGGTTGCACGTGGCAAACTATATAACACCAAAGGTAACACAGTGCACAACATGACGTTACCGCCTGGATATGTCAAGGTTAATATCGAAGTTGCTATTGTGCCAAATGCTCAATTGCCTATATCTATTGAAGGTGGTGATGTATCGATGGTTTGTCAGGCAATAGGAACAGTTGTGCCATGGCCAATGAAACTTCTTGAATTTGTTGTTGAATGTGAAAAGGTAAATTACTTATTATTAACTTGCTTGATCGTTATTTGTTTTATTATTTGATCACTAACCTTAATTAATAAAACTTTTTAGAATCCTGATCAATCCCAAAACAAAGAATACCCAACAAAGTGTTGATTCTATTTTGTCACCTAACAAAAGCAATAAAAAATTCAAAATTGAAGAGTCTCCTAGAGTTGGCGGTTCAACTAGTCTTGTAAGTTTACCTTTCTTTGATATGTATGTGAAAAAGATGATGAGGGTTGGATCGTTAATTCAAATAAAAATGGAGGAAAGTATATTTGGCGAGGATTTTTTAGAGCATCTACGTGTAGAGAGTATAAAAGAGATTCTTGATCACAATTGGTTAATTGCCTCTATTATCACTGTATTTTCCAGGTACCTCTATTATTACAAATGTCCTCTAATCTGACAAATATATTAATATTTACATTGTTGACAAATATATAAATACCAATTATTGTCGTTCATTTCTAGGTATTTGTATGACAAGTTTATTAGTCCAAATGGATTAATAAATAAGTTCTCCTTCATATCCCCACATGTATCACGGGAGGATAATCTAGGAAATGCTATAGCAAAAATACTTCTGAAAGATGAGGAGTACTTCAAGGATAAGATGATTCTTGCACCTTGCAATCTAGGGTGAGATTTCTATTCAAAATGTTATTAAATTTACGAGAAAAAACTATATTCAATGAAATTTTTATTGCAATATTCAAATGTTGAATACAGGAAACATTGGGTGTTACTTGTCATCAATCTCGATGCTGAGGTGATATATTACATGGATCCGTTGAATGGTGAGCCAACTAAACATCAAAATTTAAAAACCAAGTTTGAGAAGTGAGTATAGACTCTTTCAATTTAACATTTATATAAGTATTCTTAGTTATAATAATTACTCATTTGAAGTTAATTTCATTTTGTTAGTGCATTGCAAATTTATCGTGCTAATAGTAACTCTAAAGTGCCTAAAGTCTCCAAGTCAAAGAAAATTTCATGGTCAAAAATTCGGGTATGTCCAAATTAACGTTATTTTTAAAAATTATGTAGAGTAAAAGTAATATATTTAAATGTTTTTTTGCAGTGTCCCCGTCAAATTAATAACATTGACCGTGGATATTTTGTAATGCGATTTATGAAAGAGGTCATCATGGAAAATGAAATTATGATCCCCATAAATGTACGTGATTTTAATTGTTATTAATTTGTAAATTAATGTAATTTAATTCTAATACAATTGTTGATATTTTTATATTTGAAGTACTTTCCTGACCACAAATGTCGTACCTACTCTAAGGATAATTTGACTGAGGTCAAGGAGGATTGGGCTACCTATATGGTGGATAATATTTTCGGTGAGTTTTCTAAAGCCTACAATATTTAGATACTTAATACCTTCCTTGCATATTAAAAGTTTTAATTGGTTGTACCATTTTCACTTAAGGTGTTCATTTGAATCCTGTTGTTATCATTGAACTTGGTTAGGTAAAATGATGTTCTTCATAATGCAGAGCTTCTAGTTTTGATTTGGTGATCTTTACATTTCAGTATTTTTTAATTATATATTAAAATTTTGTTTTCAGGTTTCTGTTTTCTGATTATTGTACAATACATAATCAATATTCTTTCTATGATATAGGAAAACAAGAAGCAATTATTTTGCCTAGCTAGCTAGCAAAGTGGTTGTATCTCTGGATGTAGCAATGCTTTGGTTCACAAAGTGGTTACTACTTGATGTTGTTTTGTTGTCCTTTCTTGTTTTTTTAGATGTTTTTTTCCATTAGTTTAGAGAATATGCCTAGCTAAGTAATTTACTTTTTGTTTGGAATTTGGTTTGAAGTACTCTTAACCAAATTAATAACTAGTGGCAAAAGTTTTAGCTTTATTTCATTGAGATCAATATTGAATATGGTTTGTTAATTTGTTTGTTATCATTTACCACTATTATGCAGTGTAGATTGATCTATATACAGAGATACAATTCCTTCTGTGTTTATTATGGCAGTGGTAGATATATATGGTATCACATTTGTTCTTGAATAAGTGGTTCTATTTCATTTTCAAATATTTTAGCTGGTAGTCATTATTATTTTATGAATTATAATATCGTAAAATGCAAATGCCATATATATATATATATATATATATATATATATATATATATATATATATATATATATATATATATATATATATATATATATATATATATATATATATATATATATATATATATATATATATATATATATATATATATATATATATATATATATATATATATATATATATATATATATATATATATATATATATATATATATATATATATATATATATATATATATATATATATATATATATATATATATATATATATATATATATATATATATATATATATATATATATATATATATATATATATATATATATATATATACACACACACACACACACACACACACACACACACACACACACACCAAAAGAATGATTTTGTGTACAAAAAAAGTGTACTACAATAGTGTTTTGAAAAGAGAGTGCTATTAACGAAACATACTATAATAGCACTTTTATGGAAAAGCGCTATCTAATATGTGTCTTATAATAGCGCTTTGTTTGAAAGTGCTATCAAAATCAAAGCAAATTACGTTTTATAAAATGCAAAATGTATACTTCTATAGCGCTTTTGGAAAAATGCTATTAAATACTGGTACTATAATAGCGCTTTTGGAAAAACACTATGAATTACCAGTACTATAATAGTGCTTTTAAAGTGCTATCAAAAAAAAATATTTACAATAGCAGCCTGGTTAATAGCGCTTTTAAGCGCTATCAAAAAGCAAAAAAAAACGCTATTAAATAGCTTTTTTGTAGTTGTGGATGTTCACATAAAGAAATAGATTGAATTCATTGATTTGAAACAGGGGAACATGACAGTGGCAGAGTATGCCGTTAAGTTCGACGAACTGGTAAAGCATTGTCCTCATTACTTTATTGATGCGGCTATGAGTTTGAAGTGCGTCAAGTTTAAGAACGGGCTACGTCCCGAGATCAAATTGGGTGTCGGTTATTAGAAGATTAGGTGCTTTCCTGAGCTGGAGAACAGGTGTAGAATCTATGATGAAGACAATAGAGGTAGAATCGCTCACTATAAGAATCTAAGTGATAGAAGAGGCAAACAGAGGCATGGGAATACACCTTACCGTGCTCCGGCTGATAAAGGAGAGCAGAAAGATGTTGCTAGGTAGAAACCAGGGTAAGTCGTCGATTGAGGAATTACTTGTTGTGAAAGAATTTCCTGAAGTGTTCCCAAAGGATGTCGCAGAGTTACCTCAAGAGAGGGAAGTAGAGTTTATGATTGATCTTGTTCCTGGTATCAGACCTATATCTATGGCACCATACAGAATGTCAGCGTCAGAATTGGCAGGGTTGAAATCTCAGTTGGGAGGATTATTGGACAAAAAATTTATCAGACCCAGTGTGTCGCCATGGGGAGTGTCAGTTTTGTTAGTAAAGAAGAAAGATGGCAGTATGCGCTTGTGCATCGATTATCGCCAGTTGAATAAAGTAACTATCAAGAATAAGTATCCACTTCTAAGAATCGAAGATCTGATTAATCAACTCGTGGGAGCTCGTGTGTTTAGTAAAATTGATTTGAGGTCAGGCTATCATCAGATCCGTGTGAAAGAAGATGATATCTAGAAAACAAATTTCAGAACTCGGTATGGACATTATAATTATGCAGTGATGCCGTTTGGTGTGTCCAATACACCGGGTGTGTCATGGAGTACATGAATCGTATCTTCCATGCTTATTTGGACCAGTTTATAGTAGTTTTCATTGATGACATTTTGATTTGATCCAAGTCAGAAGCAGATCATGTAGAGCATTTGAGGGTTGTGTTGCAAGTGCTGAAGGATAATAAATTGTTTGCAAAACTTTCAAAGTGTGAGTTTTGGTTGAGCGATGTGAGTTTTCTTGGACATGTTATTTCTGGAGGAGGCATAGCAGTGGATCCATCGAAAGTGAGTGTTGTGCTTCAGTGGGAGGCTCCGAAGTCAGTGACAGAGATTAAAAGTTTCTTAGGCTTGGCAGGTTATTACCGTAATTTCATCGAAAGGTTTTCTAATTTAGCTCTTCTGTTGACCCAGTTGACTAGAAAAGGCCAGGAATTTGTATGGGATATTTTGTGTGAAGAAAGTTTCCGAGAACTGAAGAAAAGGTTGACTATCGCGCCACTGTCAACCTTACCAAATCTGAATGATCCTTTTGTGGTATATTGTGATGCGTCTAAAATGGATTTAGGCGGTGTTTTGATGCAAGATGGCAAGGTTGTGGCTTACGCTTCACGACAATTGAGGATTCATGAAAGGAATTATCCTACTCATGATTTAGAGTTAGCTGCAATGGTTTTCGTACTAAAGGTTTGGAGGCATTATTTGTACGGGTCAAGATTCGAAGTGTTCAGTGATCATAAGAGTTTGAAATATCTGTTTGACCAGAAGGAATTAAATATGAGGCAGCGAAGATGGATGGAATTTCTGAAATACTATGACTTTAGCTTGAGTTACCATCCCGGTAAAGCTAACATCGTGGAAGATGCTTTGAGTCGGAAGACGATACATATGTCGACGTTGATGATTAGATAATTGAATTTGATCGAGCATTTTAGAGACTTGAGTATGGTTTATGAGTTAACTTCAGAAAGTGTAATGTTGGGGATGCTAAAAGTGAATAATGAGTTCCTTTGTGAAATAAGAGAAGGTCAGAAACTGGATTTGAAATTGGTAGACTTGATGACCATAGGCTGAACGGATAAGGAATAAGACTTTAAATTAGATGATTCTGGTATGTTGAAGTTCAGAGACAAAATTTGTGTGCCAGATAATCCTGATTTGAAAAAGGTAATTTTGCAAGAAAGCCACAGGAGTAGCTTGAGTATTCATCCAGGAGCTACGAAAATGTATCAAGACCTGAAGAAATTATTTTGGTGGTCGGGTATGAATAAATACATAGCTTGATTTGTGTATGCTTGTTTGACTTGTCAGAAGTCAAAGGTGGAACACCAGAAACCATCCGGTTTGATGCAACCGATGGAAATACTG